GGCAAAGGCAAAAACATCCAATATCTCTCCCCCTACCCCTGTCCACCATCAGGTGCCACAAACATATTTTATGTCATGTAGAAATTTCACAACTCTGTCTCGTCAAGCCTTGGGCTTTCCAGTCTCTACGGCTGAATACACTTGAAGACTTTAGTCAGTCTATCACAGCATAAGTACATGTATGACTTTTTTTTTTGTCATCTGAATTTGAGCTTTTCAAGCATCCAAATGCTGTCTCTCATAATCCTCTGCTAACTGTCTTCTGCTGTCACCACACTTCATCTATATCATTTGCACATGCTGAATGAAAATAGGCATGTCCTGACTAATACTTTTCATCCCTGAGAGCTCCCTAAGTTATTTAAGATTACAATTTTCTTCTTTAAAGCTAATGTAAATTATGATATCTAATCATTTGTATGATTGGGTATTATTCCAACCAGCTTTTACAGCAGTTTTCATATGCAACTTTAATAAGCATTTACCTATGTCAAGAATGCTTCATTTACCTCATGACAACATATTACCCAAAGTGCACATGGCTTCATCACTTATTCAGGAACAGTATCTCAGAGATATACTGTACCTAGCTTAAATCAGCCAGTGTGTCACCAAGACTAAATATTGATGTATTGCCTAGTTTAAGAAGAAATTTTAGAAATAATGAGGAAAATTTTATGTTTTTGTGAATTAAAGATGAGCTCATTATTAGGGAAATGACACTTTAACCCTATAATGCCAAATGTATCATATTTGATACATACGGTTTCTGAAATGTTTTGCGTCTGACACCTTTTGCATAATTTAATGGTACAAACTTTGCTCAAAATCCTATTGTACACAATCAGATATACCTGATAACAGAGGGCAGAAGACTACACAAAAAATAATCTTGACTTATTGCATAGTAATAAATTATTAATATCAAAAATGTATTTCTGTTCTTTTCTTTTTACATATTTTGTTAAAAGGCCAAATAAGGACTTCAAACCAAAAAAAAGTAATTTTCTGTTTTGTTTTATTCTTGGATCGGGCTTTAAAGGGTTAAATCTGATCTATGTTTTATTGTTTTGTTCTTTTTTGTTTGTTTTTTAGTTTAATTTAAATTAACCAAATAGAAAATATACCAAAATATATATATATTTTTTAGCCTGGTTTAAATCCACCTTCAAGCTTCATTTATGTATTCTTTTTTTCTTATAATGGTTTGAAATCTCTTTTTATGCAATTGTTTTTTTTTGTGTGTGTGTGTGATTATAATGTGACAGCTATGATTTGAACAATGTAGCAGCCAGAGTCTGTACTGAAGATGAATTTCCTTTGGGATGATAAAGTTAATCTCATCTAAATCTAATCATGCATCTCAGATGATGCTGCTGATCGTCTGCATCAAACAGTTGAATTGCATACCAGCAGAACTGACCAATTGTCTCCAACACTGCTCACAAGAAGATTAAGCTGTTTTTCCATGGTTTCCAATTTTGGGTGTTAGATCCATTATCCATTTACAGGTGCTGGTCATAAAATTAGAATATCATGAAAAAGTAGATTGATTTCAGTAATTCCATTTAAAAAGTGAAACTTGTATATTATATTCATACATTACATACAAACTCATATATTTCAGATGTTTATTTTGTTTAATTTTGATGATTACAAATGACAACAAATGAAAATCTCAAATTCATCATATCAGAAAATTAGAATATTGTGAAAAGGTTCAAAATTGATGGCCCCTGGTGCCACACTCTAATCAGCTAATTAACTCAAACCACCTGCAAAAGCCTTTAAATGGTCTTTCAGTCTAGTTCTATAGGCTACACAATCATGGGGAAGACTGCTGACTTGACAGTTGTCCAAAAGACGACCATCGACACCTTGCACAAGGAGGGCAAGACACAAAAGGTCATCGCTAAAGAGGCTGGCTGTTCACAGAGCTCAGTGTCCAAGCACATTAATAGAGAGGCGAAGGGAAGGAAAAGATGTGGTCGAAAAAAGTGTACAAGCAAGAGAGATAACCGCACCCTGGAGAGGATTGTGAAACAAAACCCATTCAAAAATGTGGGGGAGATTCACAAAGAGTGGACTGCAGCTGGAGTGAGTGCTTCAAGAACCACCACACACAGACGTATGAAAGACATGGGTTTCTGCTGTCGCATTCCTTGTGTCAAGCCACTCTTGAACCACAGACAGCGTCAGAAGCGTCTTGCCTGGGCTAAAGAGAAACAGGACTGGACTGCTGGTGAGTGGTCCAAAGTCATGTTCTCTGATGAAAGTAAATTTTGCATTTCCTTTGGAAATCAAGGTCCCAGAGTCTGGAGGAAAAGAAGAGAGGCACTTCATCCACGTTGCTTGAAGTCCAGTGTAAAGTTTCCACAGTCAGTGATGGTTTGGGGTGCCATGTCATCTGCTGGTGTTGGTCCATTGTGTTTTCTGAGGTCCAGGGTCAACGCAGCCACATACCAGGAAGTTTTAGAGCACTTCATGCTTCCTGCAGCTGACCAACTTTTTGGAGATGCAGATTTCATTTTCCAACAGGACTTGGCACCTGCACACAGTGCCAAAGCTACCAGTACCTGGTTGAAGGACCATGGTATCCCTGTTCTTAATTGGCCAGCAAACTCTCCTGACCTTAACCCCATAGAAAATCTATGGGGTATTGTGAAGAAGAAGATGCAATACACCAGACCCAACAATTCAGAAGAGCTAAAAGCCACTATTAGAGCAACCTGGGCTATCATAACACCTGAGCAGTGCCACAGACTGATCGACTCCATGCCACGCCGCATTGCTGCAGTAATACAGGCCAAAGGAGGCCCAACTAAATACTGAGTGCTGTACATGCTCATACTTTTCATGTTCATACTTTTCAGTTGGCCAACATTTCTATAAATCCTTTGTTTTTATTGGTCTTCAGTAATATTCTAATTTTCTGATATGATGAATTTGAGATTTTCATTTGTTGTCATTTGTAATCATCAAAATTAAACAAAATAAACATCTGAAATATATGAGTTTGTATGTAATGTATGAATATAATATACAAGTTTCACTTTTTAAATGGAATTACTGAAATCAATCTACTTTTTCATGATATTCTAATTTTATGACCAGCACCTGTACTTAAAAAGCTTATGTGAATTTTGAATCTCATAAGCACTATGATGAGAAAAATGGCCCTCAAATCTGATTCTGTAAAGGTCTTTCTTTCTCTAGATGCCTCTGTCTATTGCAACTGTCTCCAACAGGAAAAGTTTTTTTTTATTATTATTATTATTTTTTTTTTTTTTTTGCTAATTCTGACTGTTACTGTAAAATCTGTCCAGAAATGGCAGTAACATAAAACCAAATATTTAAAAAGGAAAGACCCTCAGCATACATCCACATTTATACATTTTGGAGTGGTAATCAGAATTAGAAAATCCCAGAAGATTTGTGGTTGAAGCTAAAATGGTGCATCCAGGCAATGTGGCCTACAAACCTTAAACCTTCATAACATCTGTTGGGAACAAATTACCGTAATTAAAGTTTCATCAAACTATGTATTATACCCAATACACATTTTTTTGTATTCTTATTTACTATTGATTGCATTCACAGTTTCAATTGCATAATTTTTTTTAACCCAATATAATCAGATCAAATGGAACCTTAAATCATCAGAAAACATATTCCCTCAAAAATCAGCCAACTGAAAAAAAAAGAAAAGAAAAAGAAAGTGAAGAAGAAAAAAACATCTTCTGCTTGGAGTACATGCAAGCCAGCTAGTTGTACAGAGATCCCAATAAAAAGATAGTATAAACAATAAAAACTTTGAAATATACAAAGAAATTACCAAATGGCCTATTATAGGTACATTTTCCATTTCCACGTAAGAAGATATCAGATATTATTTTTTAAAAACTAAGGAGCCAGATCTTGTCAAGTACTCATGAATCCAAGAAGAAGATTGTATATCTCTCATATGTTATATGTAAATTAGTGCTCATGGTTGTAAATCCAGTGATTTGATGTAAGCTAAACTGCCGGCTCTATGAAGAAGAAGATGGATTTTGACCATAGTGATAACTTTGATGCAGCCTAGCGTACATGTGACTCAGAGAGCTGCAGTCACGTAGTAGCTCTGCTCTGTGTATGGGTTTTGAAAGTAACCTTGAGCCCCTGTTTCACCATCTTCAGAGACTTTGCATTGCCACAAGGGTCCCAAGTGGAAAAGCTGTCTTTAGCTCTTTGCAGTGAGCTTGACTGTGAAAAGTCCAGGTCAGGACCTTTTGATACCTGTTGCTACCCTTACCCTCCGCTGTGGTCTGAGTAAGAAATGTTTTTATCTTTTGTAGTTTTTCCAGGCACTACAAAATGTTCCAGCCTGCCCTATGTTTTCTATAATTTATGGCTCTCTTTCTCTCTTAATGTATCATTAGTCCTGCATAACTAAATGTCCTTAATTTATTGCTCATCAAACAAAATACATAGTTTTTTTTCTGTCCTCTCTATTTAGGATTTTTGCTGTTTTTGCCATTTTCGTAGCATCCATTAGCAATGTTTTTGTTTTGCTTTTTTTAAGTCAGACTTTAATTTATTTCCTGTCTAAATTAGAGATGACTCAGCCATTCAGAAAAGCAATATGGCAAATAATTAAATGAGAAAAAAGCATGCGCTCATGGTTGCAATTTTGTAAACTACTCTTCATCCCCAATAACCCTGCCTGGAGAACTGCTGCAATTGTTCTTTTCCAGCAGGAATATGACTCTTGTTAATGTAGCTGTTGGCGAAAATGAGCCATTTATGTTTTAATGTAGGACAGAAAATCCATTTAAGAAACCCTCATACAATGCCAGTAGAGGAGGTTGTGTAAAAAAGGCCGTGACCAAATCTGTAAGTTATTGTCATAGATGTTGTTGCCTTTTTGGCGAATGTTTCACCTTTCTGCAGCACGGCATTCTACATAAACACAATTTCTCTTTGGATTTCTCACTGTGTTCCTCCTTTGTCTCTTCTAGATATCCGTTTCCTACAGTGTTCAGCACCTGCAGCAAGAAGGACCTTGCAGCCAGTCTTGAGAAAGGTGTGGGGATGTGTTTGTACAACATGCCAGAGGTCAAGGTGCTTTATGGAGGACAGAAGTGTGGCAATGGCTACGTAGAGGAGGGAGAGGAGTGTGACTGTGGGGAGCCAGAGGTAAACACTAAAGCAGAGGCTTTCATCTTCGCCTTCCTCAGTGGCTGCAACTCTAAATGAAACTCAATCTTAACATGTGTTACAGAACCAGAGCTTTGAATGTATCTGAGAAATCCATTTGACAAGTAGGGGGAAAAACAGATCTTAATGCATCCCTGCTGCACTCGGAAAATACGCATACATCTTAACCTTATGAAATTTTATCAGACTAGAACTGTTTTGCTTTTATGTGGTAGAACAACACAATAACAGTGTTTAATTGTGAAGAGAAAGGAAAAGAACTGCTTCGCTTTAAAATTGATATACAATTTGTCAAGTCTGCATTTGTATGACTCTGCGCCAACTTAATAGTTTGTAGAAGTCCCTTTTCCTACATTAACAGCTGCAAGTCTTTTGAGGAATGTTTTAACAACCTTTACCATTCTATATACTCGTGTGTTTGCAATATTTTATTATTTACAGACAGCTTAAGCTCACGTGGATTGGGTGGATAGATTTTAAAGTTTTCCATTTGATTTCTATTTGAGTTAAGGTCTGTGATTTAACTATGGTTAGTGTAACACAGGAATAAGACTCCAAACATGATTTGTTATTATCTTTGTTTAAAGCCCATACAAATTTTTTGCAATCAATGCTTTTAAACTAGTTGTTCTGTCACATTACATTATGTTAAAATATTAGATGTTTTATGGTTGTCACGTGAAAAAGTGTGAAACCTCAATGGTTATGAATGCATTTCAAATATGCTAAAAATCTGTTATTTGCTCGTCCATGCTTTTGTGCTTTACTATAACTTTGTTTCACTTTTACATTAAAATAAAACACTAGTACTTTTGGGTTAGACAATCCTTCTTAACCGATGAAACTCTCGCTGAAACTCCCTCTACCAATATAAGCAAAGTCCAACTCTCTCTTGACATTTTTTTTTTTTGCAATTATAAAACACTAAAATGTAATACACCCAGGAATATATTGGGAGGGGGCAACCCCATGAGGTCTCCAATATGTAGTATTTTATTTTGTTTACATCTTGCTTTTCCTTGACCAGCTGCTCTCGTGATTTCATATCTTTGGAGGCTCATTAATCAAACTGCTGCCCAACTGTGTGACAAAGCAAGCAAACAAGTGGAAAGCACTCATAGCTTCAGCCAGTTTTCTTTGGCTCTGCTTTCCCCACTCTGCAGTGCACATCCATGCCCATTTTGTTCCCACCCCCACACACTGCAGGAAACTGTAAAATCAATAGCACAAATACATATTGCTTAGATCCACCCTAAAAAGCAGGACTTACCCCAAGTTTCACTAAAAATATAGAAAACCAGGTGACTAAGTTTAATTCAACCTTCACATCCCCAGTACATGTAGATATATCAACAAAGACACTCTTGCTGTATAGACGTGATACTGTAACATTAGTTTTACTAATTATTCAATAATAAGGCTATCAATTTGTAATTACTGTTATATATGATTTTTATATTTTTATGTATAGATTTAATGAGTGGATTAACAAATGTAAGTTCGTTTGTCACCTGCTTGCTGTAGGTATGATACTCATACTAATTGTAGCTACAGGGTTTTAGTGAATATAAAGAGTTGATTAAATATAAATCTGATACATTTAAGCAGTAGTTAAAGGCTAATTAATTTTAATACCTTATCTTCCCAGTATTATGAACTCTGGAGAGACCAATATTGGGCTGTTAGGCTGAAACGCCATGAAATATAAATATGAAAGTTAAAAGTTAGCATGAAGATTTCCTGATGTCTACAGGACATGATTGGTTTCTCTCGAGAGATGTGTCACTCTGTTGATTTTCTTACTACAAAGCTGAACAGAATTTTCAATATAGTGAAGTGGTCTTTATTTTCCTTTTAAATTAGATTATATTTTGAAACGTGTTCAAAATGAGTAGGATGTGGGATTGTTTATGTAAGCATAGTTAAGAAACTCCATAGTTTACAAATCAGTAGGTGGTATTGTGCTAGAGTCATTGTGTTTGACCACCAACAAACCGGTAATGCAGTTTAGACCTTCTGATGATTCCTCAAAAGGATCTCCTGGAGGTCCTCACATTGCTTGTTTGAACTGGCAGCCCACGTAGACCTGGAAATAAACAAGGAATTCGAAAAGGGAGCCAAAGGGTAAACAGTTGGGCATATTAAACTGCATTGACAAATTAGACCTCCAACAATCCACATGCGTCCTTACACAATGCCCAGAAAAAAACAACAGCAAAGATTTGTTGTTTTGGGTTATCAGTAAAAGTAGAAGAGAACCTCTAATCTCTTTTTTCCCTGTTATCTCTTCCAAATGCCCAGAGCTCATAAATTAAAAACCTTTTCTTTAAACCAGGTTTTTTGTGGTCATTGCATCAACAGACTCCTTTTTATCTCTAACTGGTTTAGAACTACCAAATCTAAAACACATGAGCGCTAGTTTATGTCTAAACTTTAAGGTCTTAAGGTCAGGGGGGAATCTTTGGACAGGAAGTGTGCTCCAGTGACTTGAAGAGCTTCATCTAACAGAGGCTTCCAAATGTCATATCTGTGATCAGGACCACATGCTCTAAGATGGTTTATTTTATTTTCTCTGCACTCCAGGAATGCATGAACCCCTGCTGTAACGCCACCACATGCACCCTCAAGGGAGATGCAGTGTGTGCCCATGGGCAATGCTGTGATGATTGCAAGGTAAAAGGTTTTAGGTCACTTTGGATCTTGTTTAAGTTTATTTCAACTGACTAAGTACTTTATGGGAAAGTTCTACAAATCTATTTCTGTGTTTTCAAGTAAGTGGTACATAGTGGTCATTGCAGCAGACAGTGGTTGACAGCAGTTTTCTACGAAATGCAGATTTTCTGTGCTCTCTGCTGCCCCCCTTCATTGAGAGTCATTTAGTGGTCAGTTGTTGTAGCTACAAGTGAACCTCCTCTCTATCTAAGTTTTGCTAACCACTGGTGGAATATCTTGTAAATCCTTCCATTCTAGGACTAATCTACAAGTAAAGATGTACAACATGCAGCAGTATCTAGATGAAAATATCTCTTTTTTTTAGGTTTGAATATTTTTATTTTAAATAAGTACGAATTTGTGTTTAACTATGTGTCCAACCAAGTGGACGTCATCGATTTCTTTTGGAAGTTATTCACAAAGAATTTTGAGCCTGATCTTCAAAGACTCGACATAAAGGTGCTAAAATGCACATGCAGTTTTTTTAAGTGTGTGCAATAAGTGGGCATGTCGTGAATGAGTTATAAAAACTGCTGCTTAAATGTTACAACATGCAAATTGGTTTGGTTCCAGCCATTAGAATTAGCATTTTGCATTTTCTAACAGTATATTGAGGGTCGCCATATAATGAAAATATCTATTAAAAATAGTAATAATGATAATACTTACGAATATCTATAGTGCATCTCAAACGGTACCCGTCATTTATGAATGGAAAAGCCTCGATGGTCATAACCTGAAAAGGTAATACTAAATTAAAATAAATAAATGAGCGACATTCCTTTTTGACCATGTTTCCACAGAATGACTTTGAAAAATAAACTCAATAAACAGGCTTGGACAAAGAGCTGTCCAATATTAAGAAAAAATATAGGTATTTAATTGAAATCAAGTTTTATTTAAATTTTTACAAAATCAATTCACATATACAATAAAAGACAAAAACAAATTCATAATGTTAAAATTCATAACAAGGACCAGAGGAAACAAAGAAAGAGATTTCTCAGGAGATTAGAGAGAAAATTATAGACAAGCATGTGAAAGGTAAATGCTTTAAGACCATCTCCAAGCTTCTTGATGTTCCTCTAACTACAGTTGCACGTTTTATTCTGAAATTAAGAGTCATGGGACTGTAGTCCACCTCCCTGGAAGTGGCCACAGCAGCAAAACTGATGACAAATCAAAGAGACAGATAATAATAATGGGAACAAGAGAGCACAGAAAACCTTCTTAAGACATTAAGGTGAACTTCAAGCTCAACAAACAGCAGTGTCAGATAACGCCATCTGTCATTGTTTGAACAAAAGTGGACTTAATGGTAGAAAATTGTAACTGCAATGTTCTTTATGTCAATGTCTCTCAGTTGTGACTTTAATTGGTCCATCTGAGGGAGCTTAACCTGTTCCTCCACTTGCAAGGACATTGCCCCCATGTAATCGTTGCTCCACCAGCTACCTGTCTAAGAATAGGTTTTAAATCTTATTGTTTTTTTTTTTATATATATATATTAATATTGTGTCTCCATTCTATAGGTTTTGTGGATTATGAAAGTATATGCTCAAACACTGACTTAGGCCTTTTTAAATGTAAACTTTACATCTTTGACTGAACGTAGTGGAAAGAGCTTCGCAGTCTACTGACTTGCCAAGACGTTACATAAGTAGAGGCCATTTATCATTTTTTAAGTTCTTTAGTTGTGTGGTTGTCTGTTTTAAATGGTGTTATAAATATAGAAATGAAATGCATGAAGCTGAAATAGATATTTGACTACTCAAGGTAATATTGATTTAAACACCATTATTCATTTACATGCTTGCGCCATTTCTATTTTATTATCAGTCTAATGTCTTCTTTAAGAAACTGCTTACAGTAATAAGGCATACTCCAAGTCTTAAAGTCATAAAGTGATAAGGTCAGTAGAGTTGATTATGCTGAGTAATTTACTGAACTCTTGGTGTCTGCAGCTCAAACTGGCTGGCACCATGTGCCGAGAGTCCAGCAACTCATGTGATCTGCCTGAGTTCTGTACTGGCTCCAGTCCTCACTGCCCAGCCAATGTTTATCTCCATGATGGACACGCTTGCCACAACGTTGACGGCTATTGCTACAATGGCATCTGCCAGACTCACGAACAACAGTGCATCACCTTGTGGGGACCAGGTTAATCAATACTGTTGAAGAAGTTGGTCTCTTTTCAGACTGAAAGACTCATTATCAGATACTATTGATTGTGTGTTTGTTTTTTTGCAGGAGCTAAGCCTGCTCCTGGGATCTGCTTTGAGAGAGTCAACTCTGCAGGAGATCCTTATGGGAACTGTGGGAAGGACTCCAAAGGTTCATTTGCCAAATGTGATGCAAGGTAAAATTGTGGTGCCACATTGAATATTTCAAACCAATGGTGAAAAAAATGTTATCAAAGAATGATAATACTAAATACACAATTATTCATGAATAATTTAATGCTGTTTTGTCATCTGATTGTCCTAAAACTATTCGCCCTTTGGGTGAAATCTGTAATCAAGCTATTTGTTAATTTAATTAATTGTGTTCACGACACAAGGCTTAGCAGTCCTCCGGCACACATTTCTATCAGTTTGCAGAATTACTTGTCTTTGTCTGTGATTAGGTACCTTATGTTTCTGTTCTTTCATGCAGGGATGCTAAGTGTGGTAAAATCCAGTGCCAGGGTGGAGCCAACAGACCAGTGATCGGTACAAACGCTGTCTCCATTGAAACCAATATCCCACTACAGGAAGGGGGGCGTATTCTATGTCGAGGGACACATGTGTACCTGGGGGATGACATGCCAGACCCTGGGCTTGTTCTGGCTGGAACAAAGTGTGGAGACAGCATGGTGAGCAAACCATATATTAAAAATAATAGCGAAAGATGCACATTCTACCAATTTTCCAGTGAAGAACCACCATGATTTTTTGTGTGTAAACACATTATCAACATGAGCAATACAGTTTTTTGTGAGTTGTAAAAAAGAACATCTAACAGTTGTATCTCAGCCACACCAATGTCTACTGGATGTTTGTATCAGTAGCAACGAAATTCATTGCATTTAACACTAGCCTAGTCAGTTTGATCATCAGAAGGGTTAGACTCCCAACATTATTTGGGCATATTCTAAGTTCTGCAACTGCAGCTTTTACACACAATTTCCAAGAACATAACTGTCATTATTCTACAGATCTGATGAATCTGTGTTTTGGAGATCTAGAATTGAAAGTGCAGCTGAGTTTCTAATCGATTCAGCCTATGAATAGCTATGCGTATAAGATTGCCAAATGTATTACAGAGTGGTCAGATGATCCATTGATTTTTTTTTTTTTAGATAAGTGGTAGAAATTACTTTGAAAGTAGCATAGTGTGTCCTGATGTACAAAAGGACATAAAGCACAGCCTCAGTTCTGGTGCATGCACTACTCAAAATTCGAATGCCTCAAAGCTTACTTACAAGACCTTACAGCACATGTGTTCAGTATTTAAAAAACAGCATTTTAGCTTTTTTTTTTTTACTTTTTATTTATTTATATTCATATTCCTAATAACATTTTTAGATTTTGTTTTGACATACATTTTAAAATATCCCTAATAAAAAACAAAAGTACTGTCATAAATGTTCAACAAATGACCATGAATTGTCCTGTTGACTATGAAATAAATTAAACCTTTTACCTTATTTTTGAGGTAAATGTTTGTTTGTTTTTTTCTAGTACTACCCAACTTTTTTCAATAAAAAAACGATTGCTGCAGAGTATATTTATGTCAATCAGGTAAAGCCCAATCAGTGAACCTCCTGTTTTTGCAAGCTTGATATTATCTACTTTAGAGGGGCTGTAGTAAATCAGTGTTATAAGGGAGGAATACTGTATGTATACTGCTGCAATATTAATTCACCCAGGGGAGGGTTTAACAGAGAGGAAAACATCTAATGAAGTTAACTTTTGAGTGATTTCAGTGATGTGTTTTTTCACTCTTTGCCTGGTTTTCATAGGGTTTGTGTGTATTGGGTGTTTGTGTGTGCAGAGGAGATCTTCACAGAGGGTGCAAAGTGATTTCCCTATCCAGTTCAGCAGACTGCACATGCAAACCATTTTTTGCACGTGTGCCTTCATTAATACCGAGATCATCTTCTAGTGACCAAAACTTGTAAACACATGGGTTGAGGATATGCAAATGCAAACATTTACCACGTGCAAAATGATTTTCCAAACCTGAGACTGAACAGTGGTCACAGTTTTTGCGTTGTTTTTTTTGTACTGCTAGAAGTCAGATAAAAACTGTCCTGCATAAATGTGGTCAGTCAAACGAGGCATTGGTACAATGCCAGACAATGGAAATAAATTTTTTGCCGATTTAAACAAATTTGAATTGTCAAATAGTAGAATAACATTGTTAAAGAAAAAACATCCATTCATGTGGGCAAAAATGAATGCAAAAAGATTTTAGAAAATGTTTATACTAGATCTGAAATTAAGAAAATTACTGGATTTAAATGTTGCATTACGTCAATATAAACAAATAAAACTAAAAGAGCCTTCAAAGTGTGATATCACTCATCTGTATCTGATCTGTCTGGAAAATATGATCCCTGCCTTACTATGCATTTTTCGGCTTTTGATTTGTAATTCATTTATAGGCATTTTAAGTTTTATCTTTGCATTTCATTGTACCTGTCTAGTACAAAGTGCATAATCTAAAGAATGACATAACTAAAATAACATATAACCGTGGTGCAATCAAATTTCACTGGCTGGACTATCATGTGTGATGATGACATCAGATAAACACCATAACAGAAATAATGTAAATGTATCCATTCACTCAGCAAAGTCTTTATTAATATTGCATATGATGTAGTTTAGCATGTATTAATAGCTTAAGGATATAAATAAGTACTTTCAGTACTGTGATTACAGTATTTAATGATGACCTAGATGAATATCTGATATAGAATTGGCCGCACTCAAACTGCTTGTAGAACATGCAGTTTGCTCATTTTAATAGATAGAACCAAATTGGTTTGCACATCTTTGTAGGTCACCCCCAACACATCCATGTATTGCATGTGGTTGGAAAAAAAAGCATTTTATTGTTATTATTTGGAATCTTTGAAGAACAGGCCCTATGTGCTTAAGGCTGAGTCTGTGCCACGATGGAATCATTTATTTTATTAGGTATGCTTTTTAATGTTTTTTTGTTTGTTTTTCTTCTCCTAATGTGTCTTAATTAGCTCCACAAAATAATTTACCTTTTCTCTTCCTTTAAGTGCATACCGTATGACACTTGATTCCTAACCCCTGCAGATCAGAGTTGTTAAAGGTCTCTGTAAATAAATCTTAAACAAACATTTAAGTGCTGGAGTGTGAAAATAATGAATTTGTGAAAAAAAAAAGTTCTTTAAATGTTCAGATGACTGAATAATAGTCTAAGAGAAACATTGCACAGGTTTTTACATTTAGGTGTAGGAAACTGAAAAATAGGAAATGTGTGTGGTCTGATCACTTCAAGATTGCACTTAAAATGATTAGATAACCAAATGACAGGGTTTCATGTTCCTTCTGATCTTATTCATTCACCACAGTGCTCTCGTACTTGGTGTTTAACTGCTTTTGTAGTTCTTTGTGCTCGTTATACACAAAATGGCCATCAGGCAGGGCAGCTCGTCTCCTGGCTACCGACTTCAGGTTATGAATTCACGCAGCTCATTATCTGAACATTTAAATGTCCTGAAGGTGTGTATTTGGCATCTTTCTTCTTTTAGAAAGGTTTTGTGTTTTTCATGCTAATCAAAGCATTAGGCTGGGACACAGCATTGAGTTTCCTGACAATTTGTGGAAAATAAGAGCTGAACAGCTCTCACAATAATTTAGGTCTCCTTCTTGATTTAAAAGCAAACAAAAGCATTTTTGCATTTTACTCTGATATTTATTTTTCTTAAATATTTACAGCGTTTTGCATTTGAGGTTATGTTTTTAGGAGAGTTTGTGGGTTTGTCTGTGTGCAGAATAACTTGAAAAATGTCATGGGCGAATTTTAATAAACTTTTTATCAGAGGTGTCCCTCATGCCAAGAAACAACCCATTAAATTTTGTTGATGATCCAGCTCATAATCTGGATACGGGACTGTTTTAAACGACTCTAACATTGTGAGATAGGGATATTTAGCGGAAAAAGCAGTTCCCCACTAAACCAGAGGGTGGCAGCAGTGACTATTGACAGCCTCAGCATCGGACTCAAAGAGTCTGGGCATATTTTAATGAAGACAAAAACACAAGAAAAATTGAAAAATGTATTTTATGGACATTTTTTACCACAGCTGTGCCTCATGCTAAGAAAGAATTAATTTAAATTCCGTAATGATCCAGCTCATGTGCAAGTTTTACCTATAGGTGTAAGTCACAATTTGGGGGAAAATTAGCTGCGAAAGACTGTGAATCTCTACAGCTGCTCCACAGTTGTTGAAACGTCTGTTTATTGCAAGGTTGTACCTTGGAAGGTTTACCGATGGAGCCTTAATCTCTCCATGGTTAACTTAAAGCTGACATATATGCTTCTCAAAGTTTAGGAAATGGTTTTATAACCTAAACCCTCCTGTTTTTATTTTTCTGTCCAACTTTATGCCTGAAATATGTGCTGTCTTCTTTGGTCATTCTGATTCTGTAGGTTCACTCATCTGCGTTCATACTGGTTTAGATAACACCCAGGTGGACTGAATTTGCTTATTAACATATGGAGAAAATGAAACGCACAGTTTTGTTTTCTAATAAAATAAAGAGTTCGTAAGTAATTATTTTAGGTAAGAATAGTAATTAAGCAGCATAGCATGTCTCTGCTGTTTCATTAAATTAACTACCTCTGGTTATACCATACTATATAATAAAGTTATTTATATCTACAACATACATGTTGACTTTGCAGTTACACATGGACACATTTTCTATCTCCTCTGAAAACGTTTATTGATGCTTTTTCCCTTGAAAGGTGTGCTTGAACCGGCAGTGCCAGAATGTCAGTGTCTTTGGCGTGCTCGAGTGCTCAGGGAAGTGCAATGGACGAGGGGTGAGTGCAAAGTACCATTTTTGGCCAGTGCTTAGAGTTTAATTATGCAATGTAGTGGTGTTGCCAGCCTGTGGAGACTCCGTTTTTATCTGTTAATTCACATTTACGGAGGAGCTGCGCTATCGGGTATGCTCCCTGTCACTGTTATGATGTAAATAAAAACGAGTAATAGTGTATTTATAGCCTACCCAATCAGTCTCCATAGTCTGACCACTTTAGATGGGTTCAGTGTGAACACATTGTGTGATGATAACTTGTGTTTTCTGTCTTTAACTGCAAACAAGGAAGGGAGCAGAAACAGCAACTAATTTGCAGTATATCTTTCCCTTCTCTTAAACGATCACCTTTATTTCTCTCAGCATCTCTCCTCAATAATTCAACAAAGGATGCTTTTATGTTTTATTTACTCTGTTGTTTAGTGCTATAATTGCAGCATTCACCACAAGCTATTCTGGCCCTCTGTAAACACTGATTTTTGCTGTCAATTAAATCAAGATGGCAGGCGCAGTGAGAAATCAAAAGTTTCTTAATAGTTCCCTGTTGTCTTTTATTAAACTTTTCTATAATGCAATAGGCAATAAAAAAGAACCTACAAACAAACATACAAAAATTACGTTTTGTATGTTTGGGGCAATGAATTGCTTAAATGTCTGTGAGGGGCGGGCATAAAGAGAAGCTAAAGTTGATCATTTTATATATTGTCCATTTAAAAAACAATTTTGAACTTCCAATCAACTAAATTTTGCTCATGTAAACAAAGGTACTGATGCAGTTGCTTAGTTACTGCATCAGTGTTTTTATACAGTCAGTCTTTATTATCCAAAATGTGGATTAATTTGGATGACTTCCCCATTCTTATCATTTTAAATAACAATAATTATGATAATAAAGGAAACAAATCTTCTCTTGCAGCAGTGTTCTCATACTAAAAGTTTCTTTATGTAATAAAGTAATTTACGTTGTTCTAATAATGGGTTGTGTTATATTTTAAATAATATTACATAACCAATGTGTGAAAAGTAAGTTATATTATTCCATTTATCATAACATAACACTTTTGTTGTGGTGGATATCTAATGCTGTCTAATGCTAACTATGGTGCCCAGTGACATTTTACATGTCCAGCCCTCATTAGGTAAAAGGCAACCTAAATCACTGAGAGGTCTCTACTAATGCACACAAACTCGCTTAACCCTAATTTTTGACTGACAATAAACCTTTATTTTCAAAAAGAAATTCCAAGTAACCAGAGATATCTTGAATATTCTCAAGGACAATATGCAAACTCTGTGCAGAAAGTCTTAAACACAGGACCTTCAGGCAACCTCAACCTCACCATTTTTAAATATATAAAATATTTTAGACAGTGTGTATAATTAAGTTTTTTACTTGAAGATATAAATGAAATTAAATGTATGTAGAATACCAGCTAGTTTTAGCAAAAAGATTAATCCAATCAGTCTTTCAGTGCTTCTTCCTATTGTATAATAGCTAAATTTCACTTTAAGTAAATTTAAAATAAACCCCTTACAAGTGCCTCTTAACCCTGTCATCTAGTGGATATGGTTTTTGCCTTGCGGCAAGGGAGGCACTCAGGCTGTGCATCTGTGCTAAATGTAAATACTCCACATCTGCACTGCTGCCCCCTCCTCCATTCTCCCTTGCAAAGACAGCTGCATTTAATACCTCACTGGAGAAAACATTGGGTTTAGAAACCTGCGGCTCTGCTGAATACGTTTTTTGCAAAACTTTAACAGCATCTTGGGAAACTACACGATCCTTATTCCGTATTCTTGTTTTCCATTACACAATAATCACAAACTTCAATAGCAGGGTTTGTTTATAGATAGGACAACTAATATGTAATTGTGATGCAGGAGTGCGCAGTAATTTACTAAGGTCCTGATAATTATTTAATTCAGGTGTGTTGAGGCATGTAAGAAGGAACCTTTAAGAAGCTGAATTGATCTCTGATCTAAAGCATCCTATATCTGAAGAGTTATTGAAGAGAAACATCCCAACAGCATCATACCGACAGCACCAACATTTCTATCACACATGACATGTCTCTGTGGTCTTATCTTGCAAAACCTTCTTGGTTATGTTTTATGGCCCCCCTCCAAAGCTGGAAGAAAACATTAAAATGGACGTCTTATGGCATTCTCACAACACTAGCTTTTTTAGTACCATTGTGTCATAAATGGCAGATTTACGTATTTATTTATTTTTGTTTTAAGAAAAAAGAAATCAGGATCCTAGCTCAATCTCCTTTCGCTGCAAAAATATGTCTCACTTTAATGTTGGTCTATCATATGGTGTACTGCTAGTATACAATCAGGTTTGTGACTAGAAATGGAAAACTGACATCTTAAAGGGAAATGCCAGTGTTTAAAAAGCCACCATTACTAGTATAAAGTGTTCATCATTTGAGGTCAATCTAAATGATTGGGAGTAGTGTGTAATATACTAAACATGATCATTCTTACAGGTATGCAACAACAAGAAGAACTGCCACTGTGAAGCCCAGTGGGCTCCTCCGTTCTGCGAGAAACCAGGCTTCGGAGGGAGCATTGACAGTGGGCCAATGAGGCTGGCAGGTAGAGAGGGGAATTTTATCCCTAACTTTGCTTATTTATGCATGAAGATATTAAGTCAGTTGGAAAAAGTTTAAACAATTGCAAAATATCTCAATATAAACATATACAGTATGAAATAGCTCTGGTGCCTTTTATCTAGATGTAACAGTCTTATGTCCTGTCATTGTTTTGTGCTGTAGATGTGCGTGTGTGTGTATTAATGTGCGTGTTGTCGTATATGGCATCAGCCGACAGTGTGCTCATTACTGTGGCGATCCTGGTCACCCTGGTTAGCCTCCTGGCAGCCACAGTGATCGTCTTCCTGAAGAGGAAAGCTCTGCTAGGACTCTTCTTCAGCAACAAGAAGCGCACCTTGGAGAAACTCAGGTAATGCATGGTAAAAATAAAACATAACAACTTTATTTTGCAGTTATTTATATGAAAAATGATGCATATAGATTTTCTTCCATCCAAGAAAATACATGTTTAAAAACTTGACTTTAGGTTTATAAAGTCTTAAGTTTATAAAGTGTGTATAATTCTCACTGATGTTAAATGTTGAATTAAAAAGGGATATAAAACGGTGAAGGAAGAAGAGCAACAGCAGAGGAAGTATTCATTTTCTGAGCTTTTTTTTTAATCTTAAATAAGAAAAGCTTCCTATATACAGGTTTTAAAACTGATCATGTCTGTTGTAATGCTGAAAAGTGATGCACATAGTTTTGTTTTGTACAGCTTTCAGAACATTTCCATTCCATAAAGTCCGTATAAATGTTTATAATTATTATAATTAACCTGAGGTGCAAAGAATACAAATAAGAATTCAGAAGCTCACAGAGATACAGAATTGAATTATCTTTCAAATATTTCAAATAATAGGAATTTAAAGATTGAAATCTGAAATTCAAAGGCAGCCAGTGGAGTTACGCCAAAACAGAGAGGATTTCTGCAGCTTTATGTGCGCCAGTCATATAAGAGCAACTGTGGTGCAGTGGGAAAAGAAGTCGCCTTGCAGTTCAAAAGTTGTAGGTTGCTTTGACTTGCCATTGTTAAGTGTTTGAAATAACTAGATATGCATTACGTACACAGCATATATAAAAGCATTTTAAATCAGCTGCAGACCAGTGAGCAAAGACTTGCTCAATCCAACATAAAGTCCATTACAGAAATCTAAGTGGGACAAAATAACAGTGTGGATCACTGCTTCAAAGAGCTGCCTGGTAGACGGAAAAAAAAAATGCTGCCTTATGTGAGCAGGCTGGCCTGTCTAATTGAAAATCACTAAGTAACTTGAAACCCAGACTGGTAGCAGTTGGACGAAAATATGCTGGCGAATTCTCCAATCAGCTGTGATGGACTCACATTGTTCACAAACATTGTCACCTCTTTTAATTCATTAGAATTCCAGGAGTTTAGGGTCAACCAGTTAGGACAAAATAGAAGAGAAGAGTCAAGAAGAGAAAAAGTACCAAACAAGAAAAAAAATAAAGATATTAATGCCAAACTCTTCTGTTTATTTCCAATATGTTTTCCCTGCTGAAATTATTCATTTTTAATCAGATTTTTGCTTTAATTTGCATGTATTACTTGCAGTTTTATCCTCTATGTAAGGAGTAGCAGGTAATGAATTTGCATTAAATAATGTGATTAATACTAAGTTTGAATATTTTTAACTACAGTTATGCTATAGACCAACTGAATAGAAGCCAATAAGAAAGAACTTGTGAACAACTTAAGAAGCCTTCTGTTTTTTTAAATGTATGCAGTAAAAATCATGCAGCTTATTTATGACTTGAATTATTCAAATATGGTTTTTTATCATATTAAAGTATTTCATTGTGATAAGATTTGCTTTATTTGGCTTTCTTGGTATTATTTACTTATTTTCTTAAGGCATCTTTATGGGATGAAATTATAACCAAACGGAACATCAGATGTTATAAAATGTGATCGAACGTTAGCTACAATAGCATAAATAATTTAGCTCACTGATGCTGTGGAGTTATGTAATAATTAATGCTTTAAATGTTTTATCCAAAAATCAGCTTTTAGATCTTAAGTTGCAGCAAGGTGTTGTTTTGACCAGGTTTACTTTTTTCCCTAATGACTATTACACATTTAAAATATGTGGTAAGAATAAGAGCTTATCTTCCAAATAGAACAAAGATGATTTACTGATTTTTCTATTTTGAAAAAAAAAATGTCAATTCACAAAAGAAAACAAGGTTTATTTTGTCGCAATCTGCTTACAGTCATTTTAAATCAATTATGACCTCCATATGAATAGTGCAGCAACTGTATGTACTGTATCACTCCCTGCAAAATAAATGTAGGCAATAACATTAACGTGTAAAATATGTGAGAAAAGACAAGAAAATTGGAACAAGAATAACCTTGTAATGCAGCATTAGACCACTATTTGAAATCTATGTTAAACAGTAATATTTTATTTGATTTAAAGGAGAAAACTGTTTCTGCACATCAAATGTTTTTGATTAGTTGATTCCACAGCTGAGAAAGATAATTGCTATTTCTGATAGATCTGCTATTCTTGGATGTAATTAAGTCCAATCTGTGCCTTTAAAATGGAAAATATGAAATTCAGTCCTGGTTTTAACAAGGGAGTTATTTAAAGACAAGTGTGATAGGATCAATTTTTCTAGTATTTGTCATGGCTCAAGGCTGTGTTTTGGGTGAACTGTAGCAGTGTGAGTTTTTTTTCTTGTAAAGGCACTATTACAATAATCTAACAAACAGAAAAGCATATATAGGTTTATCTTTCATGCCTGTACCATCAACATTTTATTCTGATGTCTCTATATTGTGGCTTTTGTGGAGTTTTTATGCTAGAGTTAAAATGTAAATCAGAGTATATGAATGCCTAGAGTTTCTTGAATTTTCCTCTTTTTTTTTTCTTTTGTGCCGTCTTTAGCCTCATCACATCTATGTGACGGCTGGTTTCCACCTTTCCAATTTTGGGACCCAAAACGATTACATCGGTCTGTTCTGCATTAGCCTGGAGGAAATTCTAACCAATCTGTTAGCACATTACTGTACAGTATTTGGAGACTCCAAGTGACTCTAGTGGACTATGCTAAAGCGGTTACTCAGAAATATAAAGTTTAATGTCACCAGCACAATTGAGACAAATATAGAGACAAAGTCCAATGGATTGTTTTTAATTTTCTTTTTTTGGAATGACTATGACTTAGAAGACTGAGAATCTTCACCAGCGTCACCAGCATAGATATTATGAGATATGAACTACTCCAAACTCTGAGCAGGGGGTCATCAGTTTAGGATAGCACGAAACCTTTCCAGTCTATAATTTAGAAAGTTATGAACAACCATTTGAAATGCAATATTGTTATCATGCAAAGAAATAATATTGAGATATAGGCTTTTGATGCAGACCTATATCAAACTTTTACCAGTGCCGCCTGACTGTCCTGGAACTTCTAATGAGGAGTCTATATCCCATAGTTCCCCCGGGATATAATTATCAGATGAAACAGTTATTTAGTTATTTATTATTTATGTATTTATTATTTAGTCAAAATCTTATCCTGTTCAAGTTATGCAGATGTGTTGATCTTCATTAGTCAGTAAATCCTTCTAAGAAAAGAGCTACTTGTCTGGTCTTTACCTCGGTTCACTCATATGGATTACACCTATAGGAAAGCAGATACATTCACACAAATTCAGAGAATTTGGGAAACCATAAACAATGCTTTACCTTCTATATAGTAAACTAAAAACAAGACAAACAGGCTTCTTACCAGCTTACGCAAAGTTCTCATCCATGTTAAAGCATTGATGTAGAAGAAACATGCGTAAAAAGTTGCCTAGTAGGTAAAAGTTTGATTCCAAGAGAAAATGAAAAGTTTTTATATATATATATATATATACTCAAAACACAGTATTACAGAAACAGCTGCCTTTTTGATGCATTTAAACACCACAAAGTGTTGAATATTAATATTCAACAGTTTATTTATTGGTTTATTGATTAATATTAAATATTAATCAATAAACCCAGTCCATCTCATAGGAGTCTGCCCAAATCAAAAGCAATTTTCAACCTTTGTATATATACCTTGGTTATACCTCAAATGTTATTAATAAATAACAGTTTTCTGTTCTTATAGATCTGTGGAGGCAACCAGGCCAACTAGTCCCATCAGGACTGAGTCCAGGTACAGACCCACACCACAACGCAGGCCTCCACCCAAACCTTCTGCGGCCAATGTTTGTAAGGTGAGTTGCTAACTAATATTTCTGACTGTGTAAAACCTTATTGTTTGTATTTTGATGACCTCCAGCTAAAACTCATTTCTGAATCATCATGCAGCTGGGTTTGTTGATCGAATAAGATCACAGCAGGCTGGAAAATTGATTCAGCCTCACCGTATCTCAGAAGGTGGAAATATTAATTTCAGTGCTGTTGTTGACAAGACATGGCCAAAGTGTAATTGAGATATTGCGTAACTGAAATGAGATGTAGGATGGTGAAATTCAAACCACTCTAATGTTTGTGATTTCTTTTTCCTGCAAGGGGAGCAGAGTTGATTGATTCAGGCTGTAGAGGTAAATAGGGTTTGATTTGTTTGCTGAAAATGATAAGCACAAAGGGAGATTACCTATTGTTGTGTTTGTGTCTCTGTCCCAAAATAAAATAAAGTGGACATTTATATGCATGAGAGTGTGGATCTGATATGGGTTAGCAGTTTCCTCCGTCTACAACTGCTGAGGATGAAACTTCTATCAAATGTCATAATCTAGCATAGAAGTTCATCCAGTTTATCTTTTTTATAGCCCAACAGAGTGAATCTCTTAAATAGCCTGTCCGTTCTTATTATTGTAACATTCCCAGCCAGTCGCAGATGTCAGTCTGTATCACAGCAGAGCTCTTTTAAAAAACATCTCCACTGCTTCAGTCTGCTTTTGTGAGTTTTTGTCGAGCAGCCAAATCCTTTCTGACCATTTAACATGCTTATTGGTAAGCTCTGGACTGATAAAATAACAGCTGGTCGAGACATTTGGTCAGACTCTGGATTTTACAAGTCCAGAAAGGATTATTCAGTTTTTTAATGACTCTAACATCAGCAATGTGCACAGAATACACAGAGTCAATGTTATAACAGTACTTCTCTCAGTGGTCTACCCCAGGAAATATAAGAAGTTTCTATGGAAATTAAAAACAGTAACCAGCAGAGCTTCGTCAAAGGCTTTGATCAGGAAATAAGAACTATTCAATCGGAAAGACTGAGCTTTAAAGTCGTTTTTTTTTAATAAAACAAAAGAACTGAGTTACAATAAGCAATACTGCAATTCTTACAGTGACTTCCTCAGGGATAGAAAGAGTGTCAAACATAAAGAAAGGAAACCAGGGGTACTTTCAACAGCGAAAAGGAAAGGTTATTTGCAGCAATAATTCTTCCAGTTGCCTTGTTCAGTAAAGAAATGTGGCTGAATGAAGAAGCACTAGGCACTAGTACTTCATATTTCACTAATGTTCAGTTTAGATGGTTTGTATGCTTCAACTTAGTTTTACTTTCAGTCTTTATACTGCGATTAGACATTGAGCTATGTTGTTTTTAAATACCGAAAATCTTCTTTCTCCTATCAATTTTCTTTTAGCCTTCTTTCCTGAGTGCAGAGCCTCTCCTCCCTCCTCACAACTTCCACTCCCACAGTCTGCGCAGACTCCCTCTCTACCAGCCTCTGCACATCAGCCAGCCCATGCCGGTGTCTCTAAGCGTGGGCCAGCCCAACCTGCCTCCTCTGCCCACTCACAACCATAGAGTCCTGGCCGCTCGCTCACCGGCCTCACCGCCTCGAGTGCCACCGTTTCTAAGCCTGCCACGCAAGCAGTCTTTGTATAGAGTGGAGCAGGTATGTCTGAGTAATAACACCTTTGTAAAGTACTCATTATCTCTGCAGGTGTTGTCAAAATCAAGCCTAACCCCTCCTCCTCTTCAATATCTCTATGGGCTTCGGCTCTAGCCAACCTGGGTTCTAAGATCTTTGAACATAGCAAGTATGACCCTGTTCAGAGACCTTTAGAGATCTATTTGGTTGGGCGAACAGACCTTTACTCACCCCCTACACCGTTTTTAAAGTAGCTTGTTCTGTTGTTGCTTGTGACAGAACAAGCAACCTAGAAGCATGGGGTCATCTGCTACCCATCGGCTGTGCCTGGTTAATGGCTCCTGTTCACATACTTCTTATTTTGGTCAACAAGGTTTTAATGGCCAAAGCCTCTTTGTGTCGTGCAAGAGCGACAGTCATTTCTTTCCAGGAGTTTTTCCACAATCTGCTGATAGTGGCAATGGCCTAAATCACGATGTTCACTTTTTTTTAACCCTAGCCAGCAGGAGCTCCTCGTTCGCCATGTTTTCAGCGCGTATCTGTCCACATAGTTACAAATTTTCGTAGGTGCGTGGTGCAGAAATGTTGTCCATTGTGTCAAGCATAAACCAAGCTGAAGGCTGACCACCAAGGAGAGGATTTTGAGCTTTTTTGGGGAGTAGACAGACCAATGCTGTAGATGGAATCAATGTTCGCAGATGGCTCTCAGTTTCCTGAATGATGAAATCATTTGATCCCTGAAGTTCCTCTTATGAGTGGCAGAGCTCTGATGTCTAGGGCAGTGTCTCAACAGCATAGCTCACCACTTGCACATCTCTGTCGGCTGCACAAGCTGAGGTTTTGTCCCGTTTTAATATGACCTCACTGTTTGGAAGACCCCTCTGGTATCATTAGGCAGGCACTACTGACTAGTTCAGAGTCACAGCACAACTTTCAACTGACCCTCAGAACCTGAACCCCCAATTTGGAAAGACTCACAGTGTTGAGTAGTGGGCATTGATCTTGCTGGTTCCCAAAGACACAGTGTCCATGGTCGTCTTCCTGGGGTTTCTTCTCTTGATGCTCTTCCTGTCTTTTTTTTTTAACATATCTTCCATGATGAGACCAAAGCCTTCCACAAGTCCTATGTATGCCTTTTTATGTATTTTGGAATCATTGGTGTGTATTGCTTTTACATTCCACGAAAAGGTGATTGTCCTTAGGAGCTAATCTCTAAAGTTGCTTTCCCAATTAAAATGAACGTGTTAATTAGGATTTTGCAAACACTAACAATAGGCATTTGACTCCCTTACCATCTTGCAAAACAAGCGGAGTCTGGCCCAGAACTACTGGCAAACTGCATCGCCTCTATTCCCCAAGAGCTGCATATCTGGGGACGCTATCATACTGGGCTAGCATTGATGATGTCATCAGTGCAACAGAAATCAAGAAAGTAAACAATGGATTGCAAGTTTGTGTGCTTTTTTGTTTCCCTCTTTTGTCTGTCCGAATCCCTCTTGCCAGTGCTGCACCATGTTTATCGAATGCAAGCAGAGCTGTTTTGTTTTATCAGACACAACTAGAGTGATTTTGTGATGTACATACGGTGCGCTCCAGGGCATCCTGTAAATTAGCGGGTTGACAGTGAACTGTTCTAAAAGCCGATTGTTCCCTGCTTTAAACAGGTATATTAGACCTATTTCGGAACTTTCCACTCTTAAATAACTGCGGGCTACATGTAATCTCCATCATACATCTTTGAGTTACAATGACATGAACGAATGCTAAATATTCAAAGTCTCAATCATTATATCCATATTCATGTCATAGATAACCATAGATTATTCTGGTTTGAGTACTTTGTTACTGTACTAGTAAGTTATAAAAATAAAATCAATTATCCTGTTTAAATTCATCAATACATCAATACAGTAGCTCTTGCAGGCATGCAGGGTGCTCCTATGCTGGTTTCTTAAAAAAAGTTCACTTCCCCTTTTTCTCCCTAAGACTGTAGTAACATATCCCTTCCTCTTTTGCTCCACACAGTCAGTTAATGAGTTAGATGTTATGTATTCTTAATTATGCTGTTTTTGTAATAATCTTTTGCATTGAAACAAGGCTGACCTTACCTCATTTGACACAGGGTCTCATTTTTGACCATGAAATATCTAAGGTTTTAGCATTTCCAAAGGAAAAAGCGTGTGTTTCATCGTCTGACTGTATCCAACCGTCCACCATTAATACTGAAGCCATGAAATTGGCCAGATGTTCTCCTTTTAGGTGTTGATTAGATTTGTAGTGGATGGGTGGTTTGGTTTCTAAGGACACTGTGACATCTCAGATTGTATTCATTGGTTAAATCAGAAGATTTCCTGGCTTTTAAGAGGAAAATGGAAAAAATCTAAATTCTTTAAATCTTCAATCTAAGCAATTTTTGTGTTTTTGAACCCCAGCAGCTAAGGAAGATCACTTAAAGGCAAAGTTTTCAAAATATTCTGATCAACCAAATTACAGAACTTATTTTTTTATGTCATTCATGGTTTTTAAAAGCTCAACATCTAAAACTGCAATGCCATCGTAAAAGTATTAATTAATCTGTAATTGCTGCTCTTTTAAACCATTTATCTGTAATGTAAAATATATGCAGAATGTACTTAATGACTTAAAACTTAACAAGTGTGTGTCCATTTGTAAAGGTAACCTTGTTCTGGTTGGTTTGTGCTTGCCTTTATATCACCAGCAAATAATTAATCTTGCTCCCTTTGTGCTCCATCCTCTGAGTGAAGTTTTCGTCTGAGTAGAGCCAGTGGGGTTTTGGGTGCAGAACAGTTAATAAATCCATCTGTCAGCCTATTTAGGCATTCCTGTAGTAACATAGCAATAAGGGCTGTTCTGAATGTCAGGAATCGAAATTTGCAGATGTAATATTAAAAAAAAAAAGACAAGGATACTGAACTATTTTACTTTTGGGGAAGGAAAGTAAAAGTGCTGCAGATGAAAAGCTAGTGCATAGAAAATCCAAAGCTCCACAAGTTGTATTTGCATTGCCTTTGACTACAATCATTCACATGAGCAGCATTAAAAAAGTGTTTTCTTTTCAAATATACAGAAATAGAAGTTATAGAACTTTTAAATGGTACTTGTGATAAAAATTACACATTTATAAAAATTTAAAAAAAGTATAAAACCAATAAACTGATTATTAATATTTTAAACTATTTTAACTTGGATCCCACACACAAGAATAGAATAGAATACAATATTGTAGAACATAATAGAATAGAATGTCCCACAGTGGGGAAATCCTATTGTGACAGTGGGAAAGCAAGTATTCAAAAGACATCTTAAAGGTACAGTACACCCACACAAGACCAGAGGTGGATAATCCAGGTCCAGAATGTTTCCAAAGATTCTGTGCACACCAAACACCTAGTTAAGTGAACAAATGAAGGAAAGGTAGGCAGGGTTTTTACATGTTGGATCTGGATAATCCACTTCTTCCAAGAATGAAAAAGAACATGTAAAACCTCAAATGTTGAGCAGAAATTGGCATACTCAGATAAGAAAAGAGTAATCTTCCAGTAAAAAAAAAAAAAAAAAAAAAAACAGCAGCTGGTTTACAGAAAGCTGAAAAAGCTGTGTGAATGAGCATGAGTGTAGAGCAACACTTCTAGCAGCTGGGCGCATAGATATGCAGTAGCGTTCCTTCAGGCACCTAGGGTGCAGCCGTCTTTCACTATGGCGCCTTTCCAGCTGAGCTGTGAGACAGTGTCCAATAGTAATGTTATTTTTGTTACAGTCCCTCTGTCTCCCACTTGCACTGTGTCCAGAGGGCATTCTAGGAAAGAGCTAGCCTTTCTAATAAGCTTATCCAGCTGCTTCCTCTCAGAGACAGATAAACTGCAGCTTCAAGCCACCACACTATAAAAGATGGCCGTGCCACCACACAGTCAAATAAGGTCTTACATATGCTGATGAAGATTCTCAGTCATCCAGGTCATAGTTATTCCGTAAAAGTTCAAAAAATAACCACTGGACTTGGTTTCCAAGATTTGAAGACGTTTCGCCACCTCTCCAGGAAGCCTTCTCAATTAAAAAAACGGAAAAGGATTACGTAAGAAGTGTCCCCTGCTCTCCAAAAGTTTCTGCTCTGACCCTTCCTTTAAAAAGTTTTAGTGTTGTTACTCTAGTTTATATCTGATAGGTGAACAGCCCCTATCCTTATAAGATTCCAGCATCTCATGTGTTGAACAGTGTCAGTATAGTGGGTCAGTGCTGCCAGCTACAGTCTCATTACAGTGGATTTGGGGTTTGATAGTTAATATTTAGCCACAGGGATTTTTGGTGCTTCCACAGCTGTGGTACTTTCTGCAGCCTGAGACTAATGGTGAAGATCTTTCCCATGATGGAAGGTTTACTGGTGTTGCTTCACCTTTATTTTTCTACAAGATTGTAAGCATTTGAGATTTGGATAGAGCAGCAGTAGTTTTAAGAAAGAAAATGATTTATACCTTTTCTGCTTTATATTTGTTTTATACCAGAAAAGCCTACTACAGGGAGAGCTTGGATCTTAGAAGTTGTATAGTCATTGGGATTAAAATTGCAGTTCATTATAGATAATATATATAATTGAAAAAAATCATACATTTATACAGTAATCTAAAGCAAAAACCAACATGGTGTCCCAACAGTTTTTAAAGTTTGTTTTACAAAGTTCACAAAATAGACTTTTCCTTTAGATATCTCAGTTGGTTTTATTTGGGGTAACAAATCAACTCTGGACTGAGCCTTAATTATTCTAATTAAAAGCAAACAAACATTTTAACCTTACACCATTGAATCAGGGCTGTAAAATCCACTTGAACGACAATAAGATTTAACCTTTTAAATAATATAGACCCTTGTGAGGCCAGTAAGCCAAGATGCTCAGTGGATGTATTTATTGGTTTTAGCTTTCAGTAAATAACAATAGATAAAGATATTAATAATCTCATATTGTGTCAGAAAAATCAAATCACCATTATGAGTATATGAATATACTGTTTTCAACTAGCAAGCTAAAAGAATATGAAGTTAAAAAATTGACCAATATATGACCATCTACTTCTGTTTTTTAGTTTAATTTAATAGTCAATTTAAAATGTATATATTTATTGATCACAAAGTAAACTTTCACTATGTTTCAACAGGATGTGCCTATTTAAAAAAAGAAAACAACCTGTCAAATCAGACAGCAGTGGATGACTCCATGTCTGAATTGACTGAAAAACAGCCGATTCATATTGTTCCTGCACTCCGCATGAATCTGATAAGATGCTGCAGAGATTTTCCTGACATTGTACTGTTGTGGGATGCAATAAAAATTCTAAATAACTTATTTTGGGTCACAGCTGGAGACCTTTTTATCAGTTGTCTTGCCGTCCCCACGCAGAATGCTACCCTGAGCAGTCAGCTGGAATGGCTGTCTCATAAATAGCCACTTGATGCCCATAATAACAGCTCTGAACACAAGATATCTGGGGCCTGTTTGCAATAAAGATTGAGGGTTCCCCAGCTGCCTAAACAATAAAAGGTTGTTACCTGCTAATATCGTGAATCCATTTTTTGCTGCAAATGATCAGAAAGAGTGCAGACATCATATGTAGGTCACAAGCGCATGTGGGATTCTGCTGGTATTTAACAGCATCCTAACAACCACAAACAAAACATACATATTTAAGACTGTATTACACGCTCCCCTGCTGGTTTAGCCTAAATGTCTTTGAACTGACTGCTCCCCTGTGATATTAAGGCATTTACTGAGGGCAAAAAGTATTTTTTTACTTGTATGGAAAACTGATGGGGAGGCAGCCTGGGTTTGTTAATGGTTTATTTTCTATCATGTTGTTCTGAAGCTTATCAAATGATGGAAATATATATTAAACATTTTGTGTTTATGTTCAGATAAAGCGAAGGAAACGTTTATCTTGCTTTGACAAAATGTCAAACCAAATAACTGCATGTATTCCACATCCTCCAGCTGTAAGAGCTGCGTGTAAAGCAGCGACTCAGATGACTGTGCAATATTTGCCTTTGCATTAAGAAAAGGAAACACTATCAAGATTTCAGTGAATGTTTTCCTCAAGCAATTCTGCCACCAGCTCCAGTCTTGAATTATTTCACTCAGACCTGTCCGTTCAGCTACATCACCTGCTCTGATAGGAAACCGTTTGCTTGTGATAATATTCACACAGATTTTTATAATTGGATTTCTGGAATGTCCCACTGTTTATCTTTAATTCCCCCCTGCAAACTTGCTTTGATGTAGATTTATAGGGGGGTGGGGAGTGCTGAGCTGATAATGGAACTTAGTCTGGATAAAACAACATTTTTACATATCTTCTTTGGTACCTAAATATGAACATTTTGAATTTGTGAAACCTATTATTAGGCCCCACATTGTAGCTTTATTCAGTCATTAATACATTCTAACTATGATAAAATCAGTTTTTATTAACAGATCTCATTGACAAAAAATGATAGTGGTCTCCACTAGATATTTATAAGCTTAAGAAGTTGCCGTTGATTTAGTGGTGCATCCTCAACCACTGCGACAATATAGCAAAAGTATTCAGTTAAAACCACAAACTTCCCTGTATTGTATTAAAAATGAATATAATAAACCAACACAAGTTAGTGCTGACACTGCCTTTAAACTCCCTTATTAAGTAGGTGGAGTCCACCCTATTTATTTTACATTCAGTAAAAATACAGCTGGTCTATGAATCCCTGAAATAAAACTATTTGGCAAAGAGGAATTAGGAGGAATTGCTACCTCAACAAGTTGGAAAGCAGATGGAGGTAGAAAAATACATGCAGCTTTAATAGCACAAAAAGGTCACTCTATAGTTCCTTCCCTCATAGGATTAATATGCACTCCACTTTGTATTGTCTTGCTTGATAAAATCCCAATAAAATATGTAAGTTTTTTTGGGTTGTGGTTTTTTTTTTTACTTGTAATATCATCTACTTTATCTGTAGAGCGATTTAAAACAGCTAACAGCTGAAAACAAAGTGCTGAACATAGCTAAAAATTATAAAACTTAATAAAAGAATAGAAAAATAAATAAAATGAAAAAATAAAAGAATTAAATACAGCATTATGATTTAAAAAAATGTTTAAGCTAAATCAAAAGTCATAACTAAGTCCTTCTAGTCTTAAAAACCAGCCTTGTTTTAAACTTGGTCAGTGAATTTACAGTATATATAATAAAATTGGACAAATTTAACAGGTATGAATATTTTTAGTCATGTCTTTAATCAAAAGAAGCAGTAACATTTTTTTAGTTCAAGTTGAGAAATAAAAAAAAAAATGATGAGGAGCGTTCCTATTTATCCTTTAACATACAACAAATTAACTTCTCCGTAAGATAAAATTTTCTAAAAGCCTATGTGAGATTACCCTAAAAGGGAAATCGTTACATTTAGCGGTGGCGATATGGTTGCTACTGTTACAAACATAATATATATATATATATATATATATATATATATATATATATATATATATATATATATATATATAAGAGGATATTAGGAAAAGCACAAAGTCCTACAGAATGATCTCCTTTTGCAAAGTTTTACTGGCAGAAACATTGGCAAGTTGGAGTGCTCTGGGTCTTTAACAAGTTTTTAACCTCATTAGCTGACAGAACTGTCATGTTTTGGTTGTGTTTATGTTCTAAGCCTTTTTTTCCTTTATGTGACTACAGATCACTTTAGGTTTGCCAAACTTTGTGTTCTGTCTGGATAATGGCATTGTTGTTTATTTTTGTCTGCATATGGCTCCTGTTTGACAGCAGCTGGAAAGCTTGTAGCTGAAGTTTATCACCTCCTCACATAGATTAGAAACACACCTCATCCAGATAACCTTCCCCAGTCTCACAGCTCTGCCATGGAGGTGATGGGGGGAAAGAAGTTGGAGGGGTGGGATTTATCTCATGCTTGCTGGGACTTTTCTCAGAGGATGCTGTGAACACACTGCCCTCTAGAGAAACATTGCAGACATCTGCAACAAACCATAACCCATTGTTTCAAAAATAAGTCAATTCTATATATTCCGCATCCATTTCAAGACAACATTAGTGTTATGGTTTTTTAAGAATTACGTTCAACAAATATTGATTTCAATATGTGAAGATGTCTTTTTTTTTTTTTTTCATCAGGACTTTGAGAAGCCCAGTCCACCACAGAAACCCCTGCCTGCTGACCCGTTAGGGCGGAGCTCTCGGCGTGGTTACAGCATCACGCCAACAGGGGTCCACATCCCGGGGGCTGGAGCCATCCCAGTACCTATCCCCAAGGTTCCTAGGCCTCCACCAACTATACCCTTACCCAACAGGTCTGTCAAGCACATAAAAGGCAGATTCTGGATTATATGCCAGCATATCTGACAACTGACTGATATAAAAGATATTTGTAGAATTTATGGAATGAAGATTTTAGTATTTATTTTGATGAAACCAACATATAATTTCCTCCATTTTACAACTAAGGTGCATCACAGGAAATCACATGAATACACCTGCTGAACAAGCAGGTGGACATGTGAATACTTTTGTACCTAAATCATTTTACTCTCCTTGTTCTGCTCCATTAAAACTGTTGACCTTTGTCTGTTTCAGACCTGTGCCAGCGTTGCCCTACAGACCACCAAAGACTCAGGAATGCTGAAATCTTGACATGTGGATAAGTGGAATAAGAAAACTACACAAAACAGAAAGGAACAACAAAAACATTCTCGTTTTTGCACTAATTATTTGGACGAGAGTCTGTTGGACATTTTGAACTACAGGAAAAGTTACTGTGCAAAGTTTATGGAAGAACAGGGGATGACCGTCACACCTTGGTGCTACACCTCTAAAAGGTGCTTTGCTGTCTTCACTCAGGTACTCTTGAACTATTTATCTATTTATTATTTAACTCTTATGAGTTTGTGCCGGATGAAGAATTTTCCAGAAGGAGAATTTGAGAAGACAACAAAAATAAGGTCATTTTTATGTTTTACATTATTTTGTGTTTTTTTTTTACTTTTTCTTTTGATAAATGCTGTAATCAAAGATTCTTTTGAAACAATTGATCTCTCCTGGGTGATGGATTTGTTGACACATTCAAACTTGAATGAAAATGAAAAGAAATGGAGACCAGCTCAGTTTAGTAGTATTATTTATTTAGTTTTTCCCTTCATGGGGTTTGCAAAACCAAATGTATTGTATGTTTTTTATTTTCTATTTTGCTTGAAATATGAAGCAGTTATGAGACCATGCAGCTTTTAAGATAAAAATTGAAAATGATTCTTATTGGCCCCCTAATTTCCGTTCCCGTGCGTCAGACTGGCTCCGACGTGACCTTCCAAGCATGTGTTGGATACTCAACATGATATCCTGATGCCAACGAGACTGCAGAGTGTGGACAAAGTTTACTATGTGATAATGTTCTAGAGAATGCTTCTAGCCACCAATTCATCAGTCTTAATGTTGGTGTTTGTATGTTTAATGTTCACGCTCACTTTCTTCTCCATCCTTATGGCCAAGATGGTTGACCTCAGCACTGTCAGCTTTCCAAGTTCCACACATTGGATTACAATAAATATCACCTTTTTTTTTTAAAGTTGTTTTCGATTTGTCTTTTGAGTTTCTTGGCTGTTTTTTCCTGCATTTATCATTAACTATTGTATCTGGTGTTGCACTTCCGGTGAATTTTTCAGTTCATTTAGTAGTCCACAGCAAAAATGATTGAAGTCTGGAACTGATTTTTGTTTCTCTACATGAAAATGTGCTCTCCTCAGAAAAGTGTGAAACAGTTGAAGTGATAGCCCACTGTTGGTAAATAAACGTTAAAGCTGTTGGAATTATATTGTTATTGTATGTTCATCAAATTGTCTGTATAGTGTAAATATTTAGTATGTAACCATTTTCCCTCCACTTGGTCTGTTTGTCTTTTATTCACAAGCACAGAAACATAAGAACTGCTCTGAGGCTGTGCCCCGTTTATACTTCTTTTAAATGTTTTTAATATTTCGGCATTTATAAATAACTTTTCGGGCTGGTTGTTGAATAAGGAGCACCAATAAAAGATTTTTTTTTTTGTGAGAATGATGATTAATGTGTGTTTTTAATTTCATTTTAACCTCCTAAAAAAAGGTGCAACAAATGGATCGTTCATTTTAAGAAATGTTAGACTGTGGTTGGCTGATCAATACTGCCACCTGCTGGAAGATGAGGGAAGTTGCAGATGTAGGAGTCGCCTGGTTCTCTTATTTAAAGGTTTTCACACAAAAAAAGGTCATTAACAGAGATCAATATTAAAAGTAATTCAGTTTGAGGTGTTAATCATAGATGAAATCGTTTTTCAGAGTGATATATTTTTAGTGTTCATTTTATTAAGATGATCATGAATTACAACTCTAAAAGCCCAATATGTTATTTCCCATTAAAATTATATATTTCCTAGCAATAATAAAAAGCCTAAAAATATATATATATTTCCATAAAATTGACCAGATATATACTAGATTTTTATTTTATTTTTTTACATAATGCATGACAGCATCAAGAGTGGCATGGAGGTTATCATCCTGTGGTACTTCTGAGGCCAGTCCGTCATCTCCACTGTTGACACTGTTTCCTCCTGGAAAATGAACTGTTTAGCAGAGGGATCATGAAATGCTTTAAAAATGGTTCAGCCTCAATATGTTCACTATAATAACTTGGATGGAAAATTATATGTATATATATATATGCTTCGTTTATTCTTAACGTTAAAATAAACTGGTTCATGCTCTTTCTGTTTATGTTTGTAGCTTCTCTTATTCATGTAATATGGTTTAATTTGTTTTTATTATGAAAAACAGACATTCATTTATTTTAAAACCATTTTTAAAAAGTGCATCAACTTGTGTAGAAATATTTTAAAGAATAAAAACAGATCAGAGGCAACCTTTTGACTTTATGACACAGCTTCCCATTAGTGAGCAAATTCATTTCTAAATGTCACCATATTTACACAATTGTGTTTTTTCTGCTATCAGCAGACTTTGGTGGCTGTTGTTGTAGTGTCTATTGTAAACACCAGACCCCCAGAGTCTATAGTGAGTCAAATCCCTATGTGTGTGTGTGTGTGTGTGTGTTGTTAGCTGATGGCTGCACTACTTGTGGGATTAGTGGCCACATGACAGTGCTGGGTTGGGCTGGGCTCCCACTGAGCCTTTCACTTGGCTTTGCTTGCTGAGGGCGGACTGTGTTTCTGTCTAACAGAGTCCTGAATGCTGAAGCTTTCCCAAATCAATCTGTGTGGACTTTGAACAGAGGTGGAGGTCAGGAAATTTGGAAACTCATCAGTGATGGAACAAGACGTCATGAGTTTGAGTGGAGAGGACTGCTTCGAGAGCAAGTCTCCCTGCTGTTCAGATTCAGAGGCTTTGAGTCAAGGAGACAAAGAATATGATGATATCCTGGAACTTAACCAGTTTGATGGACTTCCTTACTCTTCCAGGTTTTATAAACTGCTGAAAGAGAGGAGAGAGCTCCCAGTGTGGAGAGCAAAGGGTGAATTTATGCTTTCTTTGGCCAAAGGACAGTTTGTAGTTCTAAGCGGCTTTGCCAAAACTGGAAGAAGCTCACAAGTGAGTACTTTTTGGCTACTTTAAATTCATACACCCCTGGTATAAAAAACACAAAATATTGATTGTGCTGCTGATGGACAAACTGCTTTCTTTTAGACAATAACTGATCTCCTTTTTGTTGTGCAACAGATTCCTCAGTGGTGTGCTGAATTTTGCCTCTCAGTCCAGTTCCAGCATGGTATGGTGGTATGCACCCAGATCCATCCACAGCAGGCTGTGGATCTCGCTCTGAGAGTTGCTGATGAGATGGACATCAACATTGGCCATGAGGTCGGCTACACCATCCCTTTGGAGAATTGCTGCACCAGTGAAACTTTCCTAAGGTGTGAAAAAGCAGTGCTTTCAATTATTAGGAAATAGACCCATGTGTTTTTTAAAGCACAGCTATAACACATGTTGCTAAATCAACCCGCCTTTTATTAGATTTCAGGCAAATGTAGAACAAAAGATCGGAGGGAATCTTTTCAGCGGCTGCGTCACAGCTGCCCGGCTCCCTGTCGACCCATATGTCACACTCACCAGATGGGGGTCTCATAAGTTAGCCGGGGGACAAAGGAACTCAGCACTTTGGGGGGTGGGCGGAGAGGAGACAAACAAGCAGTAGAAAGTGAAGCAGTAATAAAAGTCAGTTGCTAAATCTAATTAAATTCCACAAGACCTTAAATGTTGACAGTGTTTTCATTAGAAGGACATTAAAGTCTTTGTAGGAGCTATTTAAATCGTATAATGTCAGAACAAAGCATATCTGATGATGGCTACATCCACTCAACATGGATTACTATAGTATTTTGTCAAAGGTCTTTAAGGAAGTAATAAAGAATAAGCTGGTAAGATTCCAGCATTCACCTTGACTGAAATAGTACCTTACGATTCATTGATTGATGATTGATTGATTAACTTTATTGATCTCACAGTGGAGAAATGTTCTCTTTACATCAGCTCAAATAGTCAAAGAAGAAGAATGTGGCAAAGGAAGAAAAAGGTGCATGGAATATATACAGTATATACAGTATGTCCACATATGACAGCTTTTTTTTATAGTAGGATCATTAATACTGGGTTGTTGCACAGGATGTGTACACTGGTATTTATATTTATGTATATAGTTAGAGCAATGTGTGTGTGTGAATTTCATTTAAACTGGTCGGTTGCCAACCAAAGAACATAGATTTGGTGTATAACTAAAGTCTCTGAGAATCTATTACGCTAAATGTTAGCCTGTTTAATTAATTTTAAATCTAGTTTTAGTTTGTGATTTTTTTTATGTAATAATGTTCAAAATTGCAATTGGGAGCAACTTTTAACCCTCTGACTGCAAATTTTTAACCACTGTTAAAAAAAAATAAAAATGGTTATAATACTGTTGCCAAAGCCCATTAAAATCATCACTCTGTTTTTGAATGAAAAAAAAGAGAAATTTTAAGCACATATGGGAAAACATATTCAGCTACCAGAAATAGTTAAGATTGTACCAATTTGTAAAACATAACGGTGGCAGTATCATGCTGTAGGGATGTTTTGCTATGTTTTGCATGGAACAGTAAAAAATGACAACCTCTAAACTCTTCACATGAAAGAAGATTAATTATCATAGCTTGTGTAGAATTGAAGCATTGTTCTGTTTTATTGTGGAATAAAGATCCACATTAAACATAAAAAAGTACAGTAGTTAAAGTAGAGGAACATAAATCTTCAGGAAGGCCTTGACCTGAACCATATTAAAAATCTCTTGACAGTGCTTAGAAACTGCACCCAGAAACTCACCTATTGGAATGAACTGCAACATTTTTCATGAAATGGGTCAAATTTTTGGCATTAAGTCTACTGAAAGCTATAAAACAGTGTGTTTAAAATGCAGTTTTCTAGTTTTATCAGGGGGCTATTCGTGCAAGTATTTCTGAACCAGAAATTGAAACTTGTGAACATTATTGCATGCATCAGTCCCTGGAATCTGCTCTCATGACACAACATAATTCAATATGTGATGAAACAAGGTGGTATTTCTTCCATCCTGCCTCAGGTATTGCACAGATGATATGCTGTTGAGAGAAATGATGTCGGACCCCTTGCTTGAGCGCTATGGTGTGGTGATTGTAGACCAGGCCCACCAGAGGACTGTGGCCACCGACGTGCTTCTGGGTCTTCTGAAGGAGATCGCCCTGCAGAGGCCAGAGCTCCGTGTGGTCCTTCTGTCAGCTACCGAACCAAGCCCCAAGCTGCTGACCATCTTCGCAGCATCAGCTCAACCAGGCATCCATCTGGAGGTCCCAGAAGCTGGAGAGGTGGTGTACAGCAGCACAGGTGACAACTACTTCTGTTCTGCTCTCTGTCTGGTGTTGGAGATCCATCGCTCAAAGGAGCAAGGGGATGTGATTGTTTTTTTGGCGACAAAGCAGGTAAGAAGCAGCTCTGGACCACATTTGAAATTGGAAGTCTAAAAAGCTCACTGAGTTTCCTTTTTGCTTATCATCCATCAGGAAATAGATCTGGCACAGAACATCCTGTGTCACAAGAAGAGTAGCTTACCATCTTATCTGGGTGAGCTGCTGCCTATAGCTGTGCATCCTGGTCAGTCTGGGAGTTTACCAGTCTGTGGGGAGGAGGAGATGGGCCAGACAAGAAGGGTGTTCCTCACACGCAGCCCAAACGAAGACTACTTCTGGGCCGTTAGCTCAATTAAATTTGTTATTGATGCCGGCTTGGAAAAAAGATATGTAAGTTTTGACCTTTATTTTTGTGCTTGACTAATTATCCACTGATGGTGTACAACATACCTGACCTGCCAATACATGTGTTAGCCAATTATGAGCCGTCAATGGAAACTAGACTCCATTTTTTAACTCTTTGGAGAGCTTATTGTGCAGAAAGCTTTAATTACACATAGACATTTGATTCCTAATTGCAGTGGAGACAGGGGATCAGTTAGAGTCACTGAAACTATGGCTCATTTTAGTGTTTATTACATTTGCATTTGAAAGTATCTTTGTTTTTGAAACCCCATCAATATTGATAAGAGGATCCTGCTTCCTAAATGGACAAAAAAATATATATATTTTTTTTTCTAGTATTATTATTAATGTAAAAAGTTCAAAAGCATGTCATTCTTTCTCATTGTGTTGCAGGTTTACAACCCCAGAATCAGAACAAATTCTGTGACCATCCAGCCAATCAGCTCAGGGCAAAGTGAGTGCCGCAAACAGCTGGCTGGTCGAACAGGTGAATAATTCAATCTGTAACTGGAAACTTTTGAAAGACTCTCACCAGCCTCCGTCTGGCTACTTCTTACTGGTTAGATACCCTGATGCCTTAACAATAATCTGGAATAGATCGTACAAGGCATCATGAACAATCCATAAAAGTATTGGTCCATTTTGAAATGAAAACATCGCACAGTTGCAGTTAAATGCCCACTCATAGAGCCAGACTCCCCTTAAACCACATCTAGAGGCTGCTCTGTTGTTCTTGTGACTT